TAAAAAGAGGTTACTACTGAAATAAAGATAATTAGGGAATATTTAAATTTATGTCGTTTTCCTCTTTTCAATGGAATGACCCTACTTTAAAATGAATTTGGCTTAAACATCATCAAACTCAGTATGTTTCTGCACTTCACAGATGCTTTTTCATACTTCCAAGACACAAATTTCTTTTTTTTTGTTTGGAAAAGGAGTATACAAATTCGAAACATTTACTAATTGCATTTGTTTTAAAGTAATCTTTCAATTAGTTGATTTAGATAAATCACTTGTTTCCGTCAGGGTATTGGCAAGTGAAATACTGTAAACAAACTTCGCTTGTGAGCTTTTACTGACTCTAGAAGTTTCACCATGTCTCAATAGTTCAATTAAACAAATTGTTACGAATCAATTAATTAATAAATGTCCCAGTTAATTGCAAAAATTTAAAACAAAAATGGTTGTGGTAGGATGGCGAATAATTTCGCTGAAAAAAAAGAGTCTACCTATTTTGGAAACAAGGTATTTCTGCTCGTACGTACTATATGTACATATGTACATAGCTACATATGACTATGCATGCATGTCTGAGTTGCATTAGGGCGGCTCACGGGATTTCAAGAACGTTTACTTAAATCAGCAGCATAATCGCTGATTACAATGCATGACAAATTAGTTATTTTTCACCGGATGCCTCTATCCATTTCCTATGTAGAATCGCTCGTTAATTCCGAAAATTGAGTTAATTTTTTTTTATAGATAAGTTTTCGATATATTCGGGCATGTGGTAAATTATCTAATTTTTACAGGGAAAAAATTAAAAAAATAACAAATACAGTTTCATTTGTATTAAAACCTGTTCTGTTATAAAAAAAATCAAGCTACTAATAAAGAAAATCGATGGATGAACAAAATCGGAATGAGTGGTCAAATGAAGATGCGCAAGGATTTTTATACACGAGCGCACTTGAGCACACATAAAAGGCTTTAACACAAATGAAAAAAAAAATGTACACAGAATTTGTTATTATTAAATTTTTTCCTGTTAAAATTTGAATTTTTTTATTTTTTCATCAAAACCCAAAAAATCTGGAATGATTAATTAATTTCTCAGAAACTATACGGCATAACGAAAAGTGATGTAAATACGGGTTGTGTATAATTTAGTTAACTTCCATTTACCACACTTCGTATTAAGATTGTTCAATTGCTTCGTAAGATATACATAAGCGATTAAGTGGAAAATAATAAGAAAAAAAAATTATTTCGATTTTCGGAGTAAGCGAGCAATTCTAAATAGGCATTGGAAAGTGGCATCCAATGTGCATTTTTACTGTAAATCAGTGTTATTTTTAATTTTCTTTGTTTAAATTTTTTTTTTAAAGATCTCTATAAAGTGATATTTTCATACAAATTTTCGATTTATAAATCAGTTAAAGCCTACTTTATTTTTTATGATAAAGACTTTTTTAATATTTCCCATCGCCCACTATGACATTTAAATGATTTTTTTTATGACTATCATATTCATTTTCTTCCACATGAAAAAATTTCGAGAACATGTATATACATACGTTGTATGGAGAAAATGACCAACATCTTCAACAAACAAAAATCCCACACTTCAACGGTGAGTGAGGGTAATTAAGAGAGAAACATAGAGTTAGCGGAACAAAAAAAATATATAAATATTAAAAAACGTTCGTATCGCAAAAAGTTTTTTTTGGGCTAGTGTATGTGGTTAATTTTGAAGTAAAACATAAAACTTTTTCTTTTTTGTGATAAAATAAAACCGAATTTCAAAGAAATTTAACCATTCTCCTAAGTAGGGCTAATTTAGGAAGTTTCTGTTGAATGCTCACATCGCTGCGTTAAATATAGGAAAATTTTATTTCACATATATTTGTTTTTATATAAATCTTGATATAGAAACCGTTATGAACAAGGTAGGTTTACTTGCAATAAATTTGTGTAGTACTTTATAAAAATAAGGTAAACGGCGTTATTTGAAAAAATGTATGAATCGATCTTGGGAGATGGGGTATTTTTATTCCGATTCGAATCGATTCCAAAAGCGACTATTTTTTATTTCGATTTGGCATCTCTGTTACATAGTTAACTTGCATGACTCTCTTCCAAACTTATACAAATGGATATAGCCTTGAAAGCAGGCTCTTATTAGCTATCACTATGGAAAAGCATTTTAGTTGCGTTTTCAATTTGATTTATGTCATTATTATGAAATTGATATTTTAGACGGGAACAACAATTCAAAAGAGGCACTCTAAAGTCCAAACCGGCCTTGTAAACGCTCCCTTACATATGCATGATATATAGCTTTAAATTCCATCAAAAAATGTTCAAAAATATATTAAATATGAGTCATAAGCAGACATACATAAATATAACATTTCGATCAAAGTTCATATCTTCATTGACAGCTCATATACTCCAGCCGGGTATCTACCATGAACACTTGTGTAATAATAGCAATTTATCAGTGTTTGTATATTTTACCTCACACAGAGTACATTAGGACGGGACGCAAAAAAATATGTGTAATCCCTGATTTTAAAGTAGTCGTATGTAAGAACATATGTATGTACATAATTGCACATGCCAACACCGAACCGGTCGATACATAGGATTTTAGGGTAGGCAAACTCACGAATCAATGCCTCCGATGATATGCGAAGAAAACTTAAAACATCTTCATACATTTATTTTTCAACCTGTCAATATTTTTAAAAGTTTTCATGGATTTGATTTTTATTTTATTCTTTTTGAATTAATAACTTTTTTTAACAGAGCTATGCAGCATGAAAAATTCGGTTTGTACGGGAGGTGCCACGCCCCCTTTTCCAACAACCGCAATTTTTCTAAATGAGTATGCGCTTATTTTCATATATCTGCACACCATGTTCGAGTACTCTACCATGAACACTTACAAAGTTAGGCAGTATAAAAAACTCGATTTTTATGGGATGTGCCACGCCCCCTTTTACGATAACCACAATATTTCTCCATGAGTATGCGATTGCTTTCATATATCTCCATACCATATCCGACTCCTCTTCCATGAACATCTTCCGGGACATGCACTATGAAACATTTGGTTTGTATGGGATATGCTACGCCCCTTTTTCTAATAGCCCCAATTTTTCTTCATGACCTACCAGAATCGAAAGATCAGGCTTCGGGAGCCTAAGGAGATCCCTAGACCGTCCCCGGTCCACCCTCCGCCAGAACGACCCCGCATGCTCTGGTTTTCCATAGCGTTCGCTGAGTTGACCTGAGACCCATCTTTCTAAGAGAAGTCCCCAAGTAGTCAAGGCAGCTCCCTCTCGAACTTTCTCACTCCAGGCTAGACACGCAGTGATTCGTGTCATCAAGGATGAAATCAAAGCCCTCGAGAATACTATAGCGTGCAGACCTCGAGTTGGTCGGGCAACTAGCACCCCTAAGTCTGCCGCCCTTGCTGTAGCTGCTTTTTCTGCGATGGCTACAGGTATTTTTTGCCTTTTTACATTATTCGGTGAAACCTACATTCAATAAAAAAATATTTACTGACATTAGTGTGGCACGTTAGGACGAAAAGAACTGAGATCTGGTGGGTAAGTACAAGAACGGGGTACTTGAGTTCAACTTAATTTGAAACGAAAAAATGTGTCGATCCATCGATATATCACACTTTACGATGCGACTGTAAATGGTAGAGATATGACAAAAAATTAAAAAAAAAAAATACATTAGAACTTTTCTTTTTGGTACGACCCATTATTCATACTTACACTGAGAAAAGAGTTTACTTAGTCAATTAAGTATGTTTTTCGCAACACATGATTTGGTTATATTTTAGTTACCAAATTTTGTGTTGAGAGAAATATGTATGTATATATGTGTGTATATATGTATGTATATTTAGCTGACCCTTTTAGAATTACATAAAATAAAAAAAGATTTATGTAGCACATATCTACTCGACCACCCTAGCACAAGCATTTTATCTACCATATTGTAAAAAAATACTCAGATGTATTTGTGGTAATTATTTAATGTATCTGCAAGTATGCACTTATACATAGATACGTATATAAATAATAAGGTACATAAGTATGTATTTATGTATTTGCAAGTTCACCCATACATGCGTGCCCAGATAAGACACAAAAGCCAATGATTATTGGACGAATTTCGATTTGATATATAAACTGACTCAGTTGATTTCAACAAGAAAACAGTAATAAAATAACCGTCGAAGTAAACGGGCGCTGCTGGATCTGTTAAACTAAGAAACGTTAAAATTTGTATATCAACAGCACACTGATAAAGAATTAAAAGTACAAAACCGAAGGAGTATTATATAGGAAATAAAACAAGGAGAAGCATTTTTTTTGTGCCAAAATCTATTTTAAATAACAATGGGTAAGATCACATTGCTATCGAATTGAAACACAAAAAATTCTGCACCCAAAAGATGTAACCACTAAAATCAAGAGATGATATTACGAGCAAAACTAAAAACAAAAAAAAATTCATTTTTTTGTATAAACACTATGTACTTAAATATGCGATTAAAAAGTGAAATATGCTAGGTATTGATAAATTAAAAAATTCCGTTAAGATGTGAAAGTTTTGGTATTTTTTCGTAGAATATGGCAGCATATGAAACTCAATAATTTGGCTGTTTTTAGCGGTTATTCCTTTTTGGCCCAGAATTTACGTTGTTATTTGTGCGTATTTTGTTTTTGTGTGGAAAAGAAAAATGTTTCAGTGTTTGCTTTTTATTTTAATAAATTATGTATGACACATTGCAATTGTCATTTGATTGAAATTTAATCTTGACCAATTTCATGATAACAGCTATCTATAAATTAGCAAAAAGTCGTAGTCGTACATTTTGCATCAAATTCATATACATATGTATGTATGTGTGTGTCTATGCATAAGCAGATAAATTCATATTTGCGCAAACCTTAATGTTAGTATTAAATTAAAAAATTGATGCATACTTTTAGGCGCTACTATTTCCGTGGAGCCAGGTGCTGTTATCAAATACGGTAAATCGCTCTTATTTAACGATCTTAGCTTTTAGTAGAATGTGTACATTAGGATGGATGACCTAAAAAAAAAATGTTTTGTTGCAAAATTCAATACATAATTTTTAATCATGTCTTAAACCACTTATAAATGTATAAAGTTTTATTGTTATTGGATGACGATAACCTTAGCCGACTTGAAGTCAAAATATACATACTCACAGGTTGGGAAACTTTACTAAGGCAAGGGTGTCTCAAGCGAGGCTTTGTAATATTTCCCCGTGAAATATGCAATGCCTGAATTTCCACAAATCTTCATAGCTGCATTACCAACGTAAATAGAATCGCGGTGACAAGAACTGGTAAAATTTTTTGGTAATAAAATTTTTCGGTTACAAAATTTTCAGTAGCGTGCAGAATAGACCTGCAAATCCCATTACAATGCTAACGTACTGCATGGTGGCTGGCTGCCTTAGCGATCAGTAAGGATTGAATCCGAAAGTAGCAGTTCGCGGAGGGGAAAAAAGATGCTCGGTATGGGAAGTAAAAAGTTCCGGAAAGGTTGTAGCGTCTACAAGATGGATGCGATGGACAAAATAGTCGCAATCTTACCAGGAGCATGCCTGAAAGTTGTTACAGATAAGGATATCGCGACCCAGGGCAAGAGCTTGGCTACCGATCTCTCCCATCAGGCTCAATGGAAAGCTTAGAGATATTCCAAGGGTTTAACCCAGGCATAACCATGTACAAATGGAGAGTGGTCAAATGCGTCTTTTAGATCAAAAGGACAAAATAGAGAGACTACGCCTATCGAGTTTGGCAAACTAAAATTCTCTTAAGTTCTACGACACCCTATATATATAGATTAGTGTGGACATTCACTATCGACATCTAAATTTTGTATGGGATATATACCCCTTAAATTTTTTCTGTGTACAAAATGAAAATATCCACGAAAATTTCAAAACTTCAAACACATTTTTAGAGGTCACAGGCAGGGTTTGAGAAAAAAAAATTATCGCAAATGTTTGACAAAAGCATGAGCTCGGAAGACTATAACATAGCATATTGAAACTTATTCATAAGAATTCATAAACTCGCTGAGTTATAGCTGGGCAAAGTCAATATTTTGATGAATTTTTAGGATTTAAGAGCTAAATTTAATTTTTTCCACCCCCGGTAGCAACCTCTTGGACATTAGACTATACCAACAGAATGATAAAGTATCTATTTTTGCGAAGCAATTTTTCGATTTTTCGAAACTTTTTTTGAAGCAGGGGTTTTCGCCATATCTTAGGCATTTACAGTCGAATCTTAAATTATGGATAAATATATCGTTGGTTTTGTCTCACGGAGGAAGATTTTTTGTTCCAAAGTTCATTGACCTGAAGTACCCCGTTCTAGTACCTACCCATCAGATCTCAGTCTTCAGCAGCTTAATATACCACCCTAATGTCCGTGAAACAATGCTCACAAAAAATTATTAAACTTCTTCTAAGTATTTTGATTTAAAAAATAAAACTTTGTGTTGCTGTTTGTATTTGTCCCCAGGTTCGGCCGAAAAAAACAATGCGTTTGTTCACGCTTAACTGGTTATCAGGTTATGGGGTTATGTGGTTATATTTTTTATTCCGTTTACAACAATAAAATGCACTACAGAATAATAATTTTTAATCAGATAACCTGATAACCAGGCAAGTGTGAACAACCTCAATTTTGAAGTTGTCTTGCAAAAATACCTTAGACTCAGAAATGCACCGCGAACATTTTTTGTTTTTTTTTTGTATGGTAGTACGGACTAATGTACATATATATTATTTAAAGTATTCTCATACCCATGCTCATATAAACAACTTTTTAATAAGTTCATACTCACATTTTATTTTTAAGAGCAAATAATTTGTAATCTTTTCTCACTTCACCAATTTCTTATCGTTGCAGAAAACACCTGGGTCCATTCATCACCATATCAGCCGGTGCCACCATTCGCAGTTATTGGCGGTCACGACTCGGACGGCAGTCCCATCTACGTGGGTCGTTCGTTTCACGAAGGCGACAATCTCCCAGCCAAAGTAGTCCCCAGCAAGGGTGCAGGCTATGTCTGCTGGGGTGGCCGTGAAATCACGAAATCACACTATGAGATACTGGTAGGTCAAGGTTATGCTTGGGTACCCTGCTACGGTGGCTCTGTGCCGCCCAACGCTGTACGCACCGGCACTACACGCACTGGAGAGCCATTGTACGTTGGACGTGGTCACCATGCCAACAGTTTGACCGTGGGTAAAATACATCCATCGCATGGCTGCTTATACATACCGTTCGGTGGGCAGGAGGTGCGAATCGCCACATATGAAGTACTCATCAAACAGGCCACCGATCAGTGGGTACCTTCAACGCCCAACTATGCTCCGCCCAGTGCTGTGGTGGCTGGCTACGATACAGATCGCGCTCCCATTTATGTGGCACGCGCCATGCATGAAGGTGAGCTGCTGCCTGCTAAGTTTGTTCCTAACAAAGGTTCTGCATACGTCTGCGTTGGCGGCTATGAGATCAATAAAATCTCGTTCGACGTCCTCTGCGGCCATGGCTACGGCTGGGTACATGTGTACAATCACGCTATCCCGCCTAATGCTGTATTCAGCGGCATCGGACGCAATGGTCAGCGGCTGTATGTCGGACGTGGCCATCACCATGGCAGTTTGACGCCTGGTCTAATTTCGCAATTACAGCGCTGCCTCTTTATTCCGTATGGTGGTCGCGAAATCCGCGTTGACGCTTACGAAGTTCTTTGCCGTCAATAAAAAAAAGGACTACTATTGAAAATTTACAGAGATCTATTTTGTATTTGAACAAGAGTAAATAATAAAAGAATATATATTAACTAAAAATACTAAAAGCAGCAGTTTATAAATACTTCACTGATGTCTGGAAACAAAGCTCAGCGCGACGCGGACGTATGCATCCTTTTATCAAATTTACATTTCTTCTTAGATTTTTATCTATAATTTGTCTATTTTTTATGTCGTACTGTAGGCTATAAATGGGTGCATTCGTCCGCGTACGCTTCACTTCCACCAAATGCCGTACCTGGCGGCAATGATTTTGACGGTGACACCATTTACGTTGGTCGCACATTCCACAATGGCGACACGCTCGTAGCCAAGATCGTACCAAAGAAACATATTGCTTTTGTATCATGGCGTGGTGAAGCGTTTCCAAAGGATCATTTCGAGGTGCTTTGTGGCACAAATCTCAGCTGGCGTCAATGCTACGATCATGTCATACCCGAGAATGCTGTACTCTGTGGCAAAACGGCGCTGGGTCAGCCTGTTTATATTGGACGCGGTCACTATGAAGGTAGCCTGAGTGTCGGTAAAATATCCTCGGTTCATCGCGCCTTATTTATACCGTTCAAAAATGCAGAACGTCGCTTGGAGTCTTACGAGATACTGGTAGAAGACAAACATACCGAGGGTTGGGCAATCGATGAGACACCACCACCGCCACTAGAAGAAAAGAAGCCTACTTTTCCAACACCACCAACTGAGGATATGAAGCCTTACCCACCACCGCTAGACGTTAAGCCGCCATTTGGTCCTCCAATGCCAATACCCTTGCCTGCACCCATGGGACCGCCACCTCCGAACGATCCATACAACCCATATGCATCACCAGCGCCAACGCATTTCGATCCACCTCCATCATACCAGTCCCTCGGTGTATCTGTCTACCCAACGATCCTTCCAATGCATTCACCTATGCCACCCCCACGTCCACAACAATCCGATACTTGGGTGGTTTCAAGCGCCAACTATACACCACCAAATGCAGTACATGCCGGACACGATACGGATCTCTCGCCAATTTTGGTTTGTCGTTGTTTCCACAACGGCGATTTTTTGCCGGGAAAAGCGATACCGAGTCGTGCTTGCGCTTATGTCTCATACGCGGGTCAAGAGATACCCAAATCCGATTTTGAGATTCTTATTGGGGAAGGTTATGATTGGGTGCCAGCATCGGATGGTATAATACCGCCGGGTGCTATAGAGGCGGGACGCACTGCCGATGGTGAGCCATTGTATGTAGGTAGAGCTCATTACTGTGGCAGTCTAACTCCCGGCAAAATTCAGCCGTCTCATCGAGCGCTATACATTGCATTTGGCGGGTATGAAAGGCGTATTCCAAACTATGAAGTACTCGTGCGCCGTAATGACTTCTACCGAGATGAAGCGGTAAAGATCTGCTACTAAATAAATATCTGTTGAAGATGAGCTCTTTCAAATAGAGCAGGCCTTAGAAGCGACATACTTGCATTGACGAAATTTTCTACTAAATTTAATTCTTTGCGCTGTGTGTACATATTTTTGGTATTACTTACTCAGTTATTTATTCATTAATGTAAAGATTTACTAACAAATATACTTTCATATGTATCTATAAAATCAATAAATTATGCAAATACATATAAAGGACTAAACTATAGTTAAGTTTTAGCAAATGGTATCCAATTTTTCACCCATACAAAAATTTCACAACTTAACAAAATTCGAATAACATTATGCGGCACATCCAATTACCAGCGATTCTTATTCTAATTTTAATTTAAAGTGTCAAAACACGTGTCCAATAACGACGCTGAGTTGAGTCTATTGCCCGAAGAGTCTAAAAATGGGTTCCGCAACCATAACACAAAAGTGTTTAAAAAACTTTTCTCAGAAAATAAAAATTATTCGGTTAATATACATATGTGATGCGATTTCAGGTAATGGATGTGATGTGATTGTATGTGATGCTATGTCATATTGTATCATGTGATGTCATGTCAGGTGGTGAAATTAGGTGTGGTGAGTTTAGGTGAGGTATGGTGAGTTTGGGTGCAGAGAGTTGAGGTGTGGTAAGTTAAGGCTTGGTTAATATAGGTGCGTTGAATTTAAATGTAGTGATTAAAGGTGTAATTGGTTTGAGTGAGTTCAGGTGTAGTGACCAGCGTTGCCGCTTTGGTAATTTTTAACCAAAATTGGTAATTTTTTTTCTATATTTATCAAGTTTGGTAATTTGGTAATTTATTTTTCAATTTGGTAACTTTTCCTCTTCGGTCTTACATGTCAAATAGGTTAATCTTGGTTCTGGTTCCACATTAGTAAGTGACCCGTAAGCGTTTCCTTTTATAGAAAAACCAGGTAATCCTGAAAGTTTCGCAAGGCGAAAGTTGTTCCAGCGTTACTTTGCTTATAGAATGGTGTGTTTTTTAAGAAACCGCTTGAAAGTTTTGGGTGATCCTACCTTTCCCTGTCAGTTCGCCAGCTTTTCAATTGCTATCTATTTGCCGGTGTACCCGGCAACCATATATATGAGTAGAATTCTACGTAAATACGTATGTTCTCGTTCAAAAAGCTACGGCATTCAGCGGGGGACTTCACTCTGTCTATGTGTGAGTCAAAAGCTCTCCTTCAAGCGTTGAATTTTTGATATATTTTCTTGTAACTTGTTTACATACAGTGGTCGAAAAAATTATAACCGCACCATATTTTGATAAGTTTAACATGTTATTTCTTTTTTTTGTAATTTAATTTTGGTTATTTTTTATAAAAATATTGTTCTTCTTTAACAGAACTCAAAAAAATTCAAATATTAAACTTTGTTCAAT